TTTTATGAACCGAAACACTAAGAACTTTGTTAAGCTTGGCAATAAAAGGAGGCTTTAGGTAAATTACGTTCATTTGTCACAAAACAGTAAGAATTTTCTCAGTTGCTTCTAACAAGCACCAAACAATTACGATGTCCAGAATATTGAGGTTTCAAGCAAAACACGTCCATTTGTGTCAAAACACTAACAGCTTTCTCAAGCAAGGAAGTAATACAATATTCGGGACGCTAAGACTTAAGGTAAATAAAGTTTTTCTCTATTAAAGCACTATGTACTTTTTCAAAATTGAATAATTTGATTACCGTTTGATGAGAAGTATGTGCGACATATGAAATCGCTTCCTCTTATTATGTATGTAAAGAAATTTCTAATTTTTTTTATATAAACTTAACAAACACAAGTCCATACTATTACGTTATTGCCGAAATGCAGTGAAGAAATGCAGAAAAGTCAAACCATGTTCGATACTAATAACAAGAAAAGCAAAAGACAAACTAAAACGCTGCAACATCTTAAAGAAGGTGAAAATTAAGAGATGAGAAATGAATGTAATGGCTACAACGACATCATTCATATGTTTCCCCACAAGGAAGAAAGCCGATTTATAAAGAAATCTTCATTTAATTTTAAGCATAATTTGCAAGAGCTACACCCAAAAAAAAAAAAAAAAATGGCAAAAACTTCTTCGAGCAACAAGGAATAGCTCAACAAAAAGAAAGGGAAACCAAAAATGGTTCAATACGACGTTTGAAATACTTCGTTTAAATATTGTTGTTAGCTTTGTTTTTTTTTCTAATTTCCGTATTATATAATGTTGTACTTTTTACGAAATTTTTAGAACATTTTACCAGTTTTTTTCTGTCATTTCAAATTTTTCAATGAATAGGACAATTTTCATTTCGTTCGAAACGTATATAATTCAGTAAAATTCGTTGAATCATTCAAGCAGCAATTCCGCCTCTCTCGGCTCTCGAAAATCATTTACAAAGAAAAAAAATACAGTCTATGTGGTTTGAAGTTTTGATTGTGTGATTGTGTAGGTAAAAGAGATGTTTTTTTCAAATAACCCCTTTTTTTTTTAAAGTAATTTTCTTGAGGAGTCTTCCTTGCAATGTCAGTCTTGAGTATTAACTTAAATTTTATTCATCAGGTAAATACTAGAAAGTTGAACTGAAGAGAAGTGGAGAGAAAAGGGAAAGGAAGTGATTGACATTTCTATAAAAAGAAGCGAGGAGAACGACGAGAGAAACATAAAAGATAAACAAACTTAGAAAGAGAAAGTTGTTGTGCCAAAGAAAGGTGCTTTGAACAATCAAATATTTATGTTGTTATGCATTGCTAATATTATTATAATAATAGGGTGAAAGCATTATTCAACAGGAAATCAAAATATGCCCGTGATGAACAGCCAAATGAATAACGCTGTTCGTAAAATGCATCATGTATTATCTAGTGGAGCTGTAACGGTTACCGGCCCAAATCGACCACGTATACTTCGCAAGGTAATCGTAGGCTCCAGTAGCGACGGCGCCGGCTGCAGTGGTAATAACGGCGCAAATACTAACAATGCGACATCAGCATCAGTAGCACCATCCGTTAATGACGTACAACATTCGACGCCCTCAGTTACTCGTTGCTACGTGTGCGATGACTTTCTGGGGACAAATCAAAATCAAAATCTTTTAACCGAAATGAAAACATCGTATACATCCACGACATTCCCTGTTAAAATCAGTCAATTGGTGGGTCAGGATTTTATGGTTTTCACGAGTGTTGAAGATATTGTATGTGCTCGTTGCACAAATCTAATCAACTATTTGGATCGTTTGGAAAACGACGTCGAGCGCGTGCGAACGAGTTTGAAAAGTCTGTTAAACAAAAAATATAACTTAGATGTTGAAGGTACAGCAGTGTTACCGCCCACTAAGCTACAAAAGTTAAATAATGGAGCTGCTATAAGCGGCGGTGCGCAACAATTGAAAACTTTGCCACAACCGCCAGTGTTACAGAGGAAAACCACGACAAAAATGTATAAATGTTTAGTGTGCGAGTATCAAACTCCCGATATGCGTGTATTGAACACTCATTACGAGACGTGCAAGCATCAGAACTTTCAGTGTAAGAATTGTAAGAAAATCTTCCATAATTTTGGTTCATTAAAGCAGCACATGATACGAGAGCACAACACGTCAATGGATAATACTTGTGCTATGTGTCATATTAATTTTGCTAACGAAATGGCTTTTCGAAGGCATATGGATCTTAATCATAGTACCAACGTTGTCCTTGCAGTAGCACCAACTGCAGTCCCGCAAGTCGACACAATTGCAGCACGCCCACCTAATTCCGGAGCCGCTAATACGCCTGTGTACACATGCATTCATTGTCAGCTAAAGTCCACTGATAAGCCTTCATTCGACGAGCACATGCGCAAACATGCGGCTGGTATTAGACCGCTTCCATTCAAATGCAAATTGTGTGCTCAATGGTTCGAAACTCGTGACGCGGCGGCCGCACATGCGAGACAGCATCAAGGCAATGTCTTCAAGTGTGGCACGTGCTCCATGTCATTTTCAAAACGCGTGCTATTGATGAAACATTTCGAAAAACACCAACAGGATAATAGGGTACACCAACAACCAAAGTCTCAACAAAATGTCAACCAACAGAATCGACATGTCCTTTCGGCGAAACAGCACGTAGTTGTGCCCGTATCATCGCCTAATATGCTTAACAGCCAAAAAATATCTCTA